TGGTGAGGAAACACTTCCACCAAGTAGATTTGAAGCAGATGGGAAAAGGTCTAAACAATTGAGACTATGAACCACAATTCAATCCATTCAAACTTAAATCTATATTAAAAATGCTAAATTTAACTCAATAAATTCATCATAAGTTTGAAATCAATCAAATGACAAATTTAAAGTCATTATTATTAGATTATGAACTAATAATAATGATTTGAGATAGAAAAATGTATTTTTATGATAAGCTAACAACAAAGTCGTGATATACATTATTTAAGATATTTGATCAATACTGGGGGAAGGAAATTACAATATTGCCCTCGGCGCCTTGTTCCCTAGCAAGGTCTTGCAAAAACCAAGCACCACTTCCATTATCTTCAACATCATGTTTCAATTCTAAAAGCTCAAATATCAGACTTTCATCACGTGCAGGATCCACAAACATCCCCTGAACAAATAAATATCCAATAACAAATAAGAAAATAATAATTAGATGCACAAATGTATCAATCAATTTGGGATTAAACTGAAGTTGGAAACAATTGTGTAATTGTAATAGCATGGAAGAAAGAAACAAAGTTGATGATCATGAACTTCACGAATATTGCTCACATACTACAATTGAAATTTTGAACTTTATTATAGAGTGAAGAATGTATATTAAACAAACAGAGACCAGAAAGATAAATTATAAAATTAACCTCAAACCTAAGTGAGAAAGTAGTGGAAAATGCTCCACCAAACAATGGTCTTTCTGGGAATTGTTCCATTGTTATGAGAAGGTGCCAAAAAGTGACAAATTTGAGGCACAGAGCTCAAGTTTGACTTTTAATTTAAGATATTAGAATAACCAAATAGGTTTAATGAAATTACGTTGAAAAGGAATCATCTGTGTTGATTAATATTTTTTGAAGCATCACAGTAGTGGCGTTAGACGGCGAAGAAGGAGGTAAGCGGAAAGAAACAGGAAATAAAGAAAAACAGAAGAAATAGGATTGGACAAGGAGGGCGGCCAGGCGGTAATGAAAACAGATAAGAACAAAAAAAGAATGAGAAAGGAAATCGTGATAGTGGCTTTAGAGAAAGAAGTTCCGTGGCAAAAGAGGAAAGAGAAAAAAATACAATGTAGCTAAACTTTTAATAATTGATTGTATATACTAATGAGGCGCATAATTTTTTAAATATTTGGCTCAAACTGTAAATAATGTAAAACACATGGACCTAAATTGTAATTTACTCTTCCTTAAATTCATCAACGGCCAGTACGTCGATCCGCGTCAAAACCAGCACCAACCTCACTTTTAGAAAACTAAATCCTGTCCGCTGAAAGTACTCAAAATAAATCAACGGCCATTATCCACGATCCCCGACTACAGAAATCAACCAATCAGATCACGCCTCACATTCCGTATATAAACACAACTCCCCCTCTATTAATTATCACAACGAACAACAAACAACAAACATTTATCTCTTTTTAGAACACCACTCTTTCTTTACGAACCAAAGTCCCTACAATGGCGCCAAAGGCTGAGAAGAAGCCCGCTGAGAAAAAGCCAGCGGAGGAGACGAAACCAGCTGAGAAAGCCCCTGCTGAGAAGAAGCCAAAGGCCGGGAAGAAGCTCCCCAAGGAAGCCGGCGCCGGTGCCGTTGACAAGAAGAAGAAGAGAAACAAGAAGAGTGTGGAGACATACAAGATCTACATCTTCAAGGTGCTTAAGCAGGTTCATCCTGACATCGGTATCTCAAGCAAGGCCATGGGGATCATGAACTCGTTCATCAACGACATCTTCGAGAAGCTTGCTCAGGAATCTTCGAAGCTTGCGAGGTACAACAAAAAGCCGACGATCACCTCCAGGGAAATTCAGACGGCGGTGAGATTGGTTCTTCCCGGAGAGTTGGCAAAGCATGCTGTTTCCGAGGGGACCAAGGCTGTAACCAAATTTACCAGTTCTTAGGTTTGGGGATTTAGGGTTTGTATCGATGTTCAGTGTTAGGGTTTGTTTATTGTGAAAATTTCATCTATAATTTAGGCTTATATTGTGTTGTTAAACATTTAAATCCAATTGTGAAGGTTGGTTTTAAGTTACCTGTGGTTTATGTCACAAATATTTTTATCATCTTCACTGACTAGATTTGCAACAATTAATTCCAAAAAAGTTAAATGGGCAGATGTTCTTGTTGATGTGATGCGCATGCTCAAATATGATACACCACCACCGCCGCCACCACAACCGACAAGTGTTACTCTTCACCATCATGGTTATTCATGGCGCCTAAAAGCTGAACTCAACATAATTTTTCTTTGGAGAGGGATTTTTCATCCATGTATACCTTTTTTGATGGTAGACAAAGAACATCGACTTGTAGATAATGGTTTTACATCAAAAGCTTAGAATTTCTTGTCTTTCTGGGTTTCTAACTCGATTTTTTATGGCTTCAATTTGATATCCTATTTTGGGTTTCATGAGTCAATGATTTTTGTTTGAGTTTCATACTGTTGATCATCATGGCAAGAATCAATATTTTTGTTTTATGTTTGATTTTAAACCATGTTCATCTGAGTAGAACGGTCGATTCCATTCTATCAGACAAAGGACAGTTTTTTATTTATTGCATTCCATTCCTGCTATAGTTTCATGATATGAAACACTACTTAAATACATGGTTGATGAAGTTACATATGTTTAATTTATTGTATAAAATGATATTTTTCTGTATTTTTTAGGAGGTATACGTTTGACATTAAAAATAATCATGTATTTCCTTGTGTGAGTTCCTTTAATATCATTGTACACGTTTGTAACATTGTAGATTAAGTGGTTTTTGGCCATAAGAACAAAGTTATTATATAAACGTAGGAAAAGAACAAACAGGCATATGCTAAAGCAACACCATCATTTTATAGGCATACAAATCTTGGTTCATAAAATCTTTAAAACTGTACATGTTTCTGATCCTACTGTATAACACCACCATCTAAATTCTATAAACAAAGTATTAAATACATCAATATAGTTCACTAACAATGCCAAAAAATCCACATTATACCAAGTTTAATTAATCAATATCAGCATGAACATAATCCACAAAAACAAAATTCTTATGTAGTTCATGACAATAATAAGCCAAACCCGCACTCAAAACCGCAAATCCCGCAAAAACAACACGCATTTGCATCTCAGAAGGTACACCAACAGCAACACAAAGTACAACACATCCTCCCACTAAAACCTTCTTCAATATCTCAAATCTTTCATGTGTTTTCTTACATGAAGAACATTTCAATGTATGTTGCTCAAACCTATCGAACATCTGCCACAAACAACATAATAATCACAAAAAGATTGAAGAAATATGCAAATGGAAGATGAAAAATGTAACATACACGTTTTGTTATCGTGTTTTGTAGTTTAAAAACGATTATTAGTAAATAATATATGGTTTTGAGCGTTGAGTTCTAACAAAATAGTTTTATGAGATTTGAAATAAAACTATGTTTAGAACATTTGGAAAGTATTGGAAGTCTTATTAGATTCTGATCAAAAAGTCAACTATTGAAATTAACGAAAATATATCATTTAAGTTGAAAATAAGTAAAACTAATGTTAATGAAAGTTGTAAATTATATCGTTAGAAACGTTTAGGCGAAAACCTCACCGAAATCAAAGTTATAACGAAGAAGTTATGACTTATCAAAGTTTCGCGACAGAACCGGCACGACGCCATATGACGTAAAAAGTAAGTTTATGATAAACTACCTTTTAGCTTTAGTGATCTAAATGAAAGTCGTAGTATTCATCAATCCGAGAGTTTTCATAAAAAGAACGTCCAAATCTGACTTCGTATGAGGAAGTTATGATTTTTCTAAAATTCGGCATAGCAGCATTCAGCTCGAAATTCGAATTATAGATCGAGCAATTTTAACTGACACAACCTAACAGAGAATCGAAGGTCTCGTCAAGAGTAGTTCAACGGTAAAAAGACAGACGAAAACGGACGTCGGATGAAGAGGTTATGAATTTTTAACGGATTTTCCTATCCCGGCCTGTTAAAAATATAATATTAAATATGAATTCAAATTTTGCCGACAGAGTCTAAACGAAAGTTGTAGAGTATAATCTCACCTACGCGTGGATATAAAGAACGTCATAAACGGAGCACGTATGCGAAAGATATGAATTTTTGAAGTTTCAGACACAAACTTCGAGGAGGCAGTACGCCCAGCTTACTCGAGTTACGCCCCGCGTACTCAGACTAGGTCCGAAATCATCCACGTCGCCTCTTTCTTCGGACGGATGACACCTATCTCGCAATATTGACACGTAGCAAGTACGCCCAGCGTACGAGGTACGCCCATCGTAATGCGAGGCTTCGGCTACTATAAATAGAAAACGAAGTCTTCCGATTTTTTTTTACAAAATTGATACTCTTTCACCCTCAAACACCTCTCAAACTATCCTAACACCCCCGAAGCCTAGGGAACCTCCCTAACACCCGAAGCAAGCCCCGGAACACCCGAAGACCCCGAGAAAATAATCTTTTCAATGGAAACTCTGCCCGCGTAAAGCTCAGTTTTCAACTAAAACTCCCAGTTTCGTCAAAGAAAGTCATTTCTAGAGACGAAGTGTTGTCCAAATCACCATTTTATCATTCAGCTATTTCACGGTGAGTTCAATATAGGGACAATTGTATGTTATGTGTTATATGTGCAATGTGCTTTCCTGTATTATTCTGGTAATAGTTTTATACCTTTGGCCATGTAGAGCATGTCTCCTATCACTTTGGTATTGGCTTTGTGCCTTTGGCCATGTAGAGAATGTCTCGAATTATTCTGGTATTGGTATTATGCCTTTGGCCATGTAGAGCATGTCTCGTATCACTTTGGTATTGGCTTTGTGCCTTTGGCCATGTAGAGAATGACTCGTATCACTTTGGTATTGGCATAGGGCTAGGTAGGGCTGAAAGTCTATATATGCTAGCAAAATGATAATAAAAAATTGTTTATTTTCTGTGCCACTTGTGTTGAAGCTTTGTGATGTATATCATGTTTATGATCCTGAAATTATTGTGTCTCATTGATCGTAAATCTTTGAATCAAATCATTGGTTGATATGGAAAGTCTGTCATATGATACACATGTCTTTGTTGTTCTTTGTCCCTCTTTGCTTCTGTCATATTGATATATATATATATATATATATATATA